GGGGGGGGGGGGGGGGGAGGGGGATTGGTGTGTCGTATTTATAACCAACCGTGGGAGAATAACGCCGTTATAAAGGAATTGGCTTTTGATAAAGCAGGAATGAAAACGGTAACGCTCATATTTAGCAACGGAAAATGGAGTCGGCCGGGACGCCGTTAAGTGCCGGTTTGTGGGACACCTACTTCTTTGTTTATTTATTTAATTTAATTTAATTTATCGGTTCCCATTAATAATAGGAATCTGATTTTCCGTTTTTGCCCTCGCTTTTCTTGGGTTATTGTCATCTACAGTCTGCATGGTATTTTGGAGAAGAATATTGCAATAAATAGAAACCCGATACCGATTTTTTTTTCTCATCTTTCAAGAATTATCATTAAAGGTGACATGACAACTATAATAGCTTCATCATTAATGTCCTTATTTTTTTAAAAAAAATATCACCCATTAATTAATAAAAATACAGTTTAGAGGCTATAATTGTAATTTAATAAAAAAATATTGTCCAGTTTGATTTAATATTACATATATATAGGACCACAGCAATTCAAATAATTTCAACTATTAATTTAAATAAGAGAAAATTTATAAATTAAGAGAAAAAATGAACGGGGATTATTGGACGCTAAGGTAATGATAGGATGGACGACGAAGGGTAGGGGAAATGAATGATGATGGGCCATCCAACTTGCGGTGCGCCCCACTCCACTGTATTTATCCCCTTTGCTTATTCCACGCTGGATTTTCCTTTTTTAAATAATTATTTTACTTTGCTGTGATTTGATGAATTTTATTATTTTATTAATTAATTTTCCAATTTACGTTAATTTCTACTAAGTTAATCTTATTTTGACTATTTTATTTCTTTTCATTTAATAAAAAAAGACATAAAAGTCACGCATATAGTACTTAAAATAATATGAGTTAGTAAAATAAATATATATATTATTATTTAAGCGTTTTCCGAAGCTGAAAATTGGTACTTTATTATGATAATTAAATTAGTAAATAAAACTTGTTGCCTAGTGAAAATAGCCTTCCCTTTGTCTTCTTTCAAATTTGGGCACATATAAGAGATTCTTCTCTCTTTACCATTGACTTTGACTTCATATTATATTTTATTTTTATTATTTTAATAAATTTTTGTTTTTCAAGATTTTCCAAAAAATAATATTTAGAAATATATATATTTGTATTGAGGTGGCTGCGTGACAATCATTTGATATATTTTATGGGGCATATGAAATGATGAGTATAGGGTTGGAGAGAGGACAGTATAATTTGCTAAATATACAGATGGGTGACGATTGGTTGAAAGAGGAGGCACCACGTGGCATTGACTGTGATGTNTTTTTTTTTTTTTTTTTTTTTTTTTTTTTTTTTTTTCTATTTTTTCAAGTTGGGAGAGAGATTTCAAATTTTGAAACAAAACCCTCCCTTTCTCTCTCCTCTCTCTTTCTCTCTCTTAATATTATCATTGTTTGGGGGTCACCCACTATGCAACATGTGTAGACATATTAATTTATTATATAGTTTGTAAGTTGAATAAATTAAATTAGAACCCATTAAAAATCACATATATTTGGTTAGGTTATTTTTTGTGACACAAAATTTGGATTGCTGCAACTATCAATCACGCCCCCATATCAATGATCTTCAACGTAATATTATTTTAAACTTTAGGGTATTGTTAATTATATGGTTTAAGAGATGTGATTTTAATATGGGACTTTTTGGGCGGTTAGGTTACAAATAATATGAAAGCTAGACACAGGGTGATAGGCTAACGAGGATACTGGTCTTCCAAAAGAGGTGGATTGTGAGATCTCACACTAGTTGAAAAGATAACAAATAAACAAATAAAAACAAACAATATCTATTAGTAGTGGACTTATACTATTACAATTTTACCTACTTGTTTTTTTGAAGATAAACCCATGTTCTTTTAACATGTTTTATTCTCACTCATATGCTTCCTAGAAAAATTCTCATAAAGTTGCTCCACGTAGGATTACTTCAAGTCAAACATGATTAACTTTGGAGTTTTTTAATAACTGAGCAACTAAAAATAAAGAAACACGATTGTTAGTACAGATTCTTTAATTATCATACTCATTGAAAGATAACGTTCGATCCTCAAATAATTAACTCGAGACCCAAACATCAAACCTATCACCGATTGCATTAAATCATTACCAATTCCTATAACATAAATATAAGTTTAAAATTGCAATAACCCATCAACAAAAATTGCACCTTTTTTTGGTATGAACTTGATTTTCAATCATTTCCTGAAACAAAAACACGACCAATTTTGAAATAAACAATCATCAACCAAGTCTCCAACAAAACCATCAACGGTTTATAAATGGATATATTAATAATGAAAGGTTTTCCAATTTTGCCCTCCAACCAAATCAGCTAAAACCCACTGAGAATCAAACACAGTGACAAAACAAGTAATGAATAGGTTTTTCTCTAAGGTTGTAAAGATCTGGACATGCCCCCCCCCCCCCCCCCCCCCCCCCCCCCCCCCCCCCCCCCCCCCCCCCCCCCCCCCCCCC